TTTCAATTTGACACATCACACATCTTTCCATGATGACTCTAAGTACCAATATTCTGGCAAAGACCCTCAGCACAGATGCAGTAGAGACAGCACTAATTTTCTCTGCTCACCAAATCATGGCCTGCAAAAATGTTATGCAAGCTACGCTCAACTCTTCACCAGCTTCTAATCCAAAACATGGCTAAAAGACTTTCTGGATGTTCTAGTAAATAGCAGCTACCATTCTTTACCACCTATTTTTCTGAGCTGCTCAAAGAACTATTGCAGGCTTGAAAAGCCAGAGTCCCCTGTGCACCCCTGGGACAGCTTTGTCCCCACTGTCTTTTGTTCATTTCTGTATGCTATTGCTCCCTTGAACTACTGTTTATTCCAATTTCCTTTCTCCTGAAGTAGCTGTGCCCATTCCATCAAGTAGCCATGGCAACCTAATCTCAGAGAATAAAGTAAAAAATAATCCTATGATCAGAGATCTATATTAGAAAAAATGAAGTGGAAATAATATGTTCTTGAACACTAGAAATGAGTGAACACTGGAACAGATTAAAAATAGTTATGGAAAATTCTCCAATATTTGTGAACTCTAAATGCAGACAAATTCTGTACTTTTGGTCAAATTTAGAGGTAATTTACTGATATGAGAAAGTCCACACCGTGTGTTTTGAAGACAATCACATTAAGAAATTAAACCGAAATCCTTCCATATCCATACCTGAAATGATCATTCTATCGTGATCAGCACTTGTTATCATGCTAAAGAGCAAGCTCGGTAAAATTCCACGGCAAAGGAGCTTCAGCTGGGCTGTTCCCAGTCCAAACTGTAGTTTGAACAACGAAGACTCTGCTACCCCTCTTGCATGGCAGCACAAGAAGCATTTCTGCTCCAACTGCAGCAGGCAGCAGGGATGGGAACGGCACCACTGCTGTTTGTGATCACTTGTGATCCGGGTTTGTGAAACCCAGATTCCCTGGGGCAGGGGAATCATTGGGCTGCAGTGCAAGGCTACCTGCCATGGCAAAAACCAAGATACAGACACTCGGTCTGTGTTGTTACACAGACAACTGTGTTGTTAACACTGTGTTGTAAGATACTGTATTGTTAACAACAGCAAAAGGTTTAGCCTTTTAAATTCATTCTGTCCAACGGTTTTAAGAAGTCATCAAGCAGTTGTACCAAATTTTCAGTTTAATTCCTAGTGGGATTACTGCTGAAATTTCAGATATTTTATTCTAGTTATACTTGCCATGTATGCAGACTACATATTTGCAATGGAAACCTAGATCCCTCTGCATATTTCATCTTCCAAGCACCATTAAGGCGCTGGGGCTATCTGCAGAAAGAATGAAATCCAAGATGGGGAATGAGAGAGAAAGGCTGCACTCAATCCCGATAAATCCAGGGATACTTTGCCTGTAGCAGCTTCATCTTCTTCATAGTAACTGGGAAAGAGCCCTCGTACCAGATTTGCTGCAAAGAGGGTGTATTGATTCGTATCTGTGAAAGGTGATACAGACTGTCTGGACTGTGAAATTAGTCTGTAATCTAATCTAATCAATGAATGATACATCAAGTGCTCTCACTCAAGCTTCCCCGTCAGCTTCAGAAAGCTGAAACAAAACTGAGATTCTCACAGGCTTCATAGGCTTCTTCATCCTTTTTACCTTTCAATTTCACTTTCACACGGATGTGAGCAAAGGGCAAGCACAAGTTTGATACTGCCCCTAAATACAAAGTTATTTCCCTCGCTGCATATTTGTTGGCATTGGAAAAAAAATAAAATAAAGGAAAAAAAAAAGGGGGAAAAAAGTAGAATGTTTTTTTCCATACATTTACTGGAAGTGTAAGGAGTAACTGCACAGACAGTTTGCAATCCCTGAGTTTTACAGCCCAGATATCAGCAAGTAGTTGTGTCACGAAGGCACTTAACGGCATCTTGACTCATGCCTCTTCACGCTTGCAAGAGACACACAATCTTGGGCAAATAATGCGTTTTGCTCTCCWCAGAATTGCCACTGAGTTTCTTAAAGAAACAGGAAAACACAGATAAGATAAATACAGCCARCAATTGCCTATTTTGCACTATTTAAACACTCTGATAATTCACACAGGTGGAATTCCTTTGCCTTATCCGAAGAAAGCTGTAAAGGGTAGGGAGGRGAAACTCCTTCTGTTCTCACAGAAATGCTGCTTGGAAATTACTGCACATCCTACCAGAGGGCAGGCACCTTGTTATGCTGACATTGCTTTAAAGGGACAAAATCCAATGGAYGATCTGCAGATTCCTCCCAAGAGACTGGCAGGAGATTCCTATAGCCTCTTGTCYTTAGGCTTAACTCCACTATGCAAAGTGTTGCTCCCCCGTGGAAAATTCCCAGCCTATAAACACGGAGAGGYTGCAAGAGCCACTTCTCTAGGGAGTTCTCCCTGCCACCTTGCCCTCATGTCACCGAGAACTGCTCAATAAAAGAGACCTACCCATGTCCCAGCTGTGGCAGAGCTTTAACAGGGAATTAAACCCCAAGGTGGAAGAGCCTCATCCCTCTCTTGCCTCATGCCTGTGTTTCCGAAGCCTCAGCTTCCTCCTCATCATCACCTCCTTCTCTGCTTGAACCCCCCTCCTCACAAGTCCATCGCCTGTGTCTCAATTTCCTTCCAACACTGAAATCCTACCTGTTTGCAAAGCACTTGTCACCTTGGCCAACTCACAGAGCAGTGAGAAGGAACTGATTTATATGACTTGAGCTTAACAAGCTGGACTAGGCAAGCGAGGGCTGCGACAGTCGAATGTCCTTCAGGGACGGGAAACGAGAGGACAGAGCAGCCCAGGGCGGATTCATCAGGCAATACTGCCCACATCCTCAGTGCTGATAACCCCTGCACAGCCTTAAAACCCTTCCCAGGAACATGCAACACGTTGGGTAATACCCTGAGTCCCACCCATCAAACCTGCTCCTGGCACTCAGCTCCTTTGCAGTTGCATCAAAACACATTAATCTTTTTCTTGTTGGGAWGTTAGAGGCAAATGTCTGAATCTCCCTGAAAATGAAAACGCAACATTTTAACACTAGGAATACCTGCTGGCACTGTCCTCTTCATTGGATAAACTTCCTACAAATGAACAGTTCAGGGGGGTTCCCTTGCCCCAACACAGCTGGCTCTTTTTAATGCGTAACTCTCCAAGAAGTCAGGAAATAGCAAAATTCCTATCGTCTGGAAGGAAAGGAAAATCAGTCTAATCGTGAGGTCTGACCCAAGGCTCTCCCTCCTATACTTWAAAAAAAAAAAAAAAARAGAACCTTTTGATTTGCCTTCCTTTAGTAATAAAAAAAGTCCATTTTAGACAGTTCCTGAAGAAAGCGCTTCCGAGTGGGAAATTGGATCTCAGGGAATTGTTTTAACGGGCCTGCTTACACAAGCCACTCACGGAGAGAGGCTCCCGGCTGCTCTGAACAGCACCTCCTGGGGCCGCCCCGCGGACAAGCCTCAGTTCGGATGCACTGCTCAAATAGCAGGAGAATGCCAGGAAAAACACAGATAACAGCATCAGGGCATTTTAACTACATGAGGACAACTACTGAAATTGCTCTGCATTTACAAGTTGACAATTCCAGCTCCTGCGYTGCAGAAACACCCACCGGAGCCAAGCAGCCTCCGTGGAGCAGGGAAACCCGAGGAAACAGCTGCATGGATAAAGGCAGCMGGGAGAAGGGTGCTCAGAGCCCGGGCTGAAGCTATTCCATCCTGGCTCCTACGGGGGACAAGACTGAGCTGTCTGARCTGTTCAGGTGCTGCTGCCGCGCGCTTCACAGGCAGTTGTGCAAGGAGCTACGTGACTGGCGCGATCAAAGCGAAGGTCAGCGCCCGTCTGCTCCACACCCTCGGAAGCCCTTACGTTGTCTAAGCAAAGCAAGGAGAAAATTGGGATGAACAGCCCGAGCTCAGCCCTTGGAGAGAGGTTTRCATGAAGACCTTGCAGGCAGCTCCTCAGGCAGAGTTGCTGCAGGGGCAACACCTCCTGCGTGGTTTTCACAGCACTACGGACAACACCTAGTCATTTCTCCACGACTGCAGAGGACGGACGAAACTGTCTCTGTGGCGCACACYTTATTGCCCAGAACCTACTCCTCGGCTTCTAGCCCAACTTCACACAGGAGCTGGTTGCTCCCAGTTCATCCTCAAGTGTGGCTCTATTACAGCAGCTTCCCCGGGGTAAGAGCAAAAGCCTCAGAGCCYCAGAAGACAAAACCACGCGGGTGGCCGCAGGACCGACCAGGCAGCGGTGGCTGCGCCGGGACCYGCAGGGAGCGCGGCCACCGCGGGCAGCGACCCGCTGGGCAGAGGTGTCGCCACCGCCACTTGGAGCAGGTGCCAAGGGCGCTCGGAAGCCGTTGGCTCTCTGAGGTCTGGCAGCTAAACTAACCCTTGCCAAGAGACAAGGACTGAGGGATGTCCCCCTCGCCGTGAACTCGCTCTGTGCGGGCACCCRCTGGGCAGGTTGTGGCCCCCCGGCCGCAAAGCCCTGGGGGGCACCATCCCCTCGCGTCCCATCCCACAAAACTCCCCCGATCATGGGGGAGCGAAACGAAACTCTGTGTTACAGGGATGCGGTTGCACCGCGGTGCCGCACGGAGGGGCCGCCCGGGGCTGCCCCGCTCCCTGTGGACCGAGCACGAGCGGCAGCTCCGCATGGACGGGACGGCCCGCGGCTGCCCCGCTCCCTRTGCACGGGGCGCGAGCGGCGGCTCCGCATGGACCGGGCGGGCCGAGGCTCCGCACGGACGGGACGCGCCGCCCGCCGGCTTGAGGACGGGCACATAACGCGGGGAGCCCCCCGGGACACGCACCCCGCCACACGCGCCGTCGGGGACCCGCCAGCAACCCGAGGGTGGAAGGCGCGGGATGGGGAAGAGGCGGCGGCGGAACCCGGTCCCGGCGCGGGGCCGAAGCGGCGCCCCCGCAGCCCCTGCTCGCCGCCCTGCCCGGGGCGGCTGCCGGCCCGTACCTTCGAGCAGCACCTCCTTGCCCGCCCGCTTGAGCGCCTGCACCGCCTCGTCGTGGGTGGCGTCGCGCAGGTCGGTGCCGTTGACGGCCAGGATGGCGTCGCCCACGTAGAGCGCCTGGGTCTGGTCGGCCGCCAGCCCCTTGAAGATCTTGCTGATGAGGATGGGCATCTTGTTCTCCTTGCCGCCCTTGATGCTGATGCCCAGCCCGCCCAGCTCCTGCTTCAGCACCTTCACGCACCGCTTCTTGTTGGACACGGCCTCGGGCACCTGCTCGGGGGGGTCGGTGAAGGCGGTGCGCACGGGGCCGCCCGTGCCCGCCGCCCCATCGCCGCCCAGCCCGTTGTGCGCCGCGCCGTCGGGGCGCTCCTCGCCGCTCAGCACGAGCGCCTCGCCGCCCAAGTTGGCGAGCACTTTGTGCCAGCGCTCCCGCACCAAAACTTCCAGCCAGCCGCTGCGCTGCGCCCGCCCGC